TATTGCGGAAATTTGAATTGATTGCAATGGTACACGCACTCCGTGGGATCCATGATTCACGTGACACCAATTACTGCGAAAAAGAGAAAACTAAAACCAAAAAAGGAACACAATCTGCAAGAAAACAAAAACCATGAGATCCGGGAAATTGTGGACCTGCAACAACCAAAACACACCAAATAACTCATGATAGACAAAAACAAAAAAAGGGGCGAAGGAAGTCAGAATGTGTGATATTGAAAGAGGTATACAAATCCGTGTATGCTGTATATGTTGTGTCAGCTCATGTAAATAGGAGACATCATCACTGTATTGATTGATTTAATGATCAAGCATTTTTCTGTATAAAAAAATATGATATCATCAACATTGCATATCGAACCCAAGTATAATCTAACGAAGAAGAAAAAGAAACAAAAGTAGAAAGTAAAGAGAAGGAGAATAAGACAAAATAAAAATAGGATAACTTTAGATAGAATCACTTTATTCCCTTATTTCACCTTTGTATGAAGTTTTAAAGTTATAGGAAATGTAGTATCTGTATAATGTAGATGTTTAGTTCTCCATTTCTTTTTCTTATTTTGTTTGGTTCTGAATCTAGTTGTGCCCCATGTAATTTCAGTTGCACATTCTAAACGAAATTTTATAATTTCTGAAAAAAAACCAAGTTATTGAAATAACACGACTAAAGTTCGATAAATGAATGAATGAGTGAATGAAATACAATGGGAGGTGGTAATAATAATACCAATACTTGTGATTAATTCTATGAGATAAGGACTGTGAATTTTAATGTTGATTGTACTTACAGCTGTCAAAAAGTAACAATCATAGATTAAGAACGAAGAACAGGTTATCCAACTTACTCAAACAAAACCAAACATGACTACATTTGCGCACTTGTGCATACATAATACAAAAATTCATGAACATAAAAATTGAATATACAATTTGTACTACTTAAGCTTAACCCCGGAATGAAGTTCCTTCCTTTCTTTTGTAATTTTTGATGCCCATTGTACACGTATGGTACGATGTAAAAAAGAAAATAAAACAAAAAAACAAATTTGGATGATTAAGAGGAATCACAAAATAGGATAGGGTACTTAGTTGAATTATGTTGGATATTGTTTAAAAATTAAATTCAAATGATAAAAGGTGAATCACCAGGGTTAATACCCTTGCTTTCAATTTCCCCAACAAATGTGGACCAATACCAATACATTGTCTCACTATAGTTGCTATTCTTATAGTTCAATAATTTAGTTCTAGATTTTATATTGTAATAATCAGCGATAAATATTAGATAGATAATTATAGAGATGATGTTTGTGTAGGGGGCAAAGAGTTTTTAGTATATTTGAAAATTAAAAAAGCCATGCTGACTCGGAGGAGGATATATTAACAAAAATAAAACGTGGCTAGTCTACTTGTGCTGGTGATTCAAAAAAAAAAAGTATCACCGTATTCCTCTTGCCCCAAGTTTGAAGTACTAAAATGAAAAAAATTTAAACACTAGTATATACAAGAAAAATAAATTAGTGCCATTTAATGGTATAGATCATCAAACGTTACCACAAATTTAATCTAACAATACGGTGAGAACTGACTAGGAGGGGAGGGGGGAGGAGAGTGGGGTGGCCTACAAAGAGGAGAAAAAGTGGAAGAAGTGAAGAAGGTGACTATATCTATGATAGTTTGGGAAACCTGGTAAAGACAACTGAAATAAGTATAAATTACGTATCACGGGGACAATTTTTTTTTTTTTACATATTTTACTTTTGGTCAATTTACGTCGATTCCCATGATCTTTTTAATTAATACTTGATCAGTAAATTACGAAAAATCCCATAATAAATATGTTAAGATCAGATATATATATATATATACTATCGTACTAAAATGAAATATTCAAGGTACAAAATACCATGGACCGCGCGATCCAACATCATACGATATGATTTTTTTTTCCTCGCTATTGTTTTCTTCTTTCCTTCTAAGTGGTCCTCTCTTTCTTTAACTTGTTTAAATATTTTAGTTAAAAATTCAGATCGGATCTGTATTCTTTAAATTGTTTACCCAAGGAAAAGCGGTAATATGGATTACTACGACGGGGTGAGTTTTTGTAATTTTTTTTTTTGTTTCTGTTGTCGCATGTTATTTATTAGTGGTGGTGGCATCAAATTTAGCATGGTTCAGGGCGGTTAACATTGATTAGACTATTGTTCTTTTGGGCCATAGATTCATTTAGTGATTCTAATTCTCTTGAATGAAAAAAAACTTGTAATTTAGTAGTTAAACACATGATTCTACATTTAGCCATGAATCTAGTTCATATTTTTTCCACTTACACTTACTCTTTTATACCATTTCCACAGAATTGATATTCTTCCTGCATTGATCAGGGAGATATTAACAATAATTGTAATCATGATTTTTAGTTCTATCTAATTACTTTGTTTGTTCATTTTGAGCTAAATACACAAATAATTTTTTTTATGGTGTGACATTATTGTTCAACGATATTGTTACTGTAAGATTTATTTTCACATTTCCTATTATTATTTCAACTCAGGTGCCCTTGATATTGTTCTCTGTTTCTTATAGTGGTAATTAATCTCCATTTATTTTCTCCCCCAAAATAACTTCCATAACTTTAGATTATACAATGGGATTCATTACAGTGTTCATATTCTTATGCAATGAAGGTTTACGCTTGCGTTTAGGGATTAAATGGAAAGTAATGCATATATGATGAATTATTCGGAAACGGTAACTGTATAATGTAATTATAAGATCACGCCTACATATTATTGGCTTGGTGGATATGGAATTTGTTGTACGAACTATAAAGTGGAGGCAACTAGCAAAAGTGAGAGAGAGGGAAAACAAAAAAGAGTTTATGTAATCAATATAGGGAACACATAATGCCACCACTTGGACTAACGTAATGAAAAATAGTTTTGTTTTTAGTGTTTAATTTCTTTTTGAGCACTCACACACGCAAAAAAACGTGAGCAGGTAGTGTATATCTCCCAATTAGTATGTGCAGGAGATCAGATTTTTTTTATTTCAATAAGGTTTTGTGGTGCAGTAACACAAAATTATGAAGCTCTGCAAAATTAAAAAATAAACATTTCTTTTTTTTTCTTCTTCATGGAAATGATATGACACAAAAAGGGTTTGCAAAAAAAAAATTAAAAATAATAAAAGTTTAAAGGATTCTGTTTCTGTGTCACATCCCGATTTACAGAGGTGTGCAGTGCACAAAAGAAAGATGGGATGGGCGACGTTGCTGAGATGCGTGTAACCATGTTGCGCACAAAAAAGAAAAGCAAAAAAAGAAATAACTTGACCTTTTTTTTGGCCAGATGTACACGCCAGCAACATCGTCGTGCATATGATGCAAAAAATAAAATAGAATTAAAATACATACAAAGGAGGAAAAAAAAAGAAGAAAAAAAGGGGGAGGCTCGGGCGAGGGGGGTCGAGTTACTGTCGCTAGGGAGGATCAAGGAGGGGAGTAGTAGTAGTAGTAGGTGAGGTCAGGAAGTAATTGGTGATGATGGAATAGTTTGTAACCAAGGGAAAATAATTTCTAGGGAGTTTGAAATGTTATACTTACAAGAATTAATCTTTACTACTAATTGGTTTGTGGTTTTTTGTAATCTCCATGAAACAGTGAATAGATATCATAATTAACAAGTTTCGTAATTCCTCAAATACAAGGAAGAAGCTTGCAATAGCATTTTTTTGATTTGGAGGAGAGGAATAGAAAGAGGAAGAGGATGAATATCCTATTGATGAAATAATGTAAGACTACTTATCTGTATAATCTACTTGAACTATTACCAGATGAAATGAGAAGGAAAAAGAAAGAATAACAAGCGCTGAGAAGAGGGATTGAACAGTCAAGGAGCAAAAAGAAAGAAAGAAAGAAAGGGAGGAGAGGTTTTTTTTTTAATATATTTTCATTCACTGATGATGATGGGTTATGTGACATTTAATAAGAAGATGTACAGAGCGTACTATTCAAATTTACTTGAATATGTACTTACAATGGAATATTCAATTGTACATCACATTGCATAAATATTTATGAGAATCTACACAAAGTACAAAACTATTATTTACTACTTCTGCAGCAGCTGTTGATGCTGATGCTGATGCTGATGCCACTAAAAGGATACTTTTAAATATTTAACAGGAGTAACATTTACTGTAGATCGACTTAATTTGAAGAAGAAGAATTAGATGTAGAAGAAATTAAATACAAAACCAAAAAAAAAAAAAAAGACCAAGTGGAACTTAAAACAACACAATAACCTACATACATTTCCACTCCTTGTTTTATTTCTGGTTATTTGGTTAACAGTTACATTAAAATTTTTAAAGCAAAAATTACAAAAAAGTAAATCTTAAACATACAATGCAAATATAATACAAAAATAAATAAAAAAAAAATAATATCTAAAAGAGAAGAAGAAGATGTAGAAGTAGAAGAAGAATCACTAAAACAATCTGTACATGTTCATATTCATTATAATAATTAAATACAAATAAAAAAAAAGGAAAAACAAAAAAACAGTAAAAGTTGATATCCTGGCAATATAAAAAGATCTTGAAATTTCCCTTTTTTTTATTTTTGATTATAACCAATATTTCTATTTATATATTTTTATATTTTCATTCAATACTCCTAATTAGATATACATATCCTTTCTTTATTTCAGTTCAAACAATCTTCATTTATATATTCCAGGTTCTAAATTTATCCTTGATTCCAATCTACATTGACACAAGTCTATATCTATAAATCTCACACGCTGTATATTATTTTTTTCTAACACCAAGCACACTACCTTTTTTTGCTGCTAAAAAGAAAAAGATTTATATATAAACTCACACAGATACAACAAAGACACATTTTAGAATATCAATTAAAAAAAAAAAACCAACTAACTTTTACTTTTTATTTTTAATAACAATAATTATCAACAATGCTTTATCAACCTCAAATTACTCCAATTCAAAGCAGTAAATTATTGCCAGCTGCTAATACCGGTGCTTCTAATGGTTCAAAAAAATCCACAAGCTTACCTTCTTTTAATGAATTGTTAACTTCAATTCCTTTACCAACAGATTTCAAATCTTCTGCTAATACTACTCCAAAATCTACAAATTTACCTTCTCCTTCTTATAGCTATTATTCATCTTCCTCAAGTTCAGTACCAAGTAGTATTCCAACTATTGGAAGTACTATTGCTTCTGCTACTGTCACTTCTGCTACTGGTTCTGCTCCAATGCAACAACATAGATTACCAACTCCACCATTATATTCCACCTCACAACAAGTTTCTCCTAATTTACAACATTCTCAACCATCTTATCAATATTATAACTATCAACCTCAACAACAAGTAGTTATGGTTGGTTCTACTGCTGGTCATGTTTTACCACCACCACCACCTCAACAATATCAATCACAACCAATTGTTAGACCATCACCAATTCCAATCACTCCTACAACTACTTCTTTTGATATTAATCCAAAAATACGATCATCATCAACTGGTGATTTATCAAGTCATCCAAATCATTCACGTGCATCTATGTTGCCATCATTCACACCAGTAACAACAGCATCAATAAATACAAGTCCAATTTCTACAACAAATACTAATACTACTACTACTACTACATCACCTAAAGATCCAAGACGAAAACATGTTTGTAAAGTATGTTCTCGTTCCTTTACTACTTCTGGTCATTTAGCTAGACATAATAGAATTCATACTGGTGAAAGAAAACATGAATGTCCTTGGCCAACATGTGATGCTAGATTTGCTAGACAAGATAACTGTAATCAACATTATAAAACACATACAAATGGTAAAAATAAAAGAAATAGAAATCATAACAACACGAATGCTACTACTGCTACTGTTGCTGGTGTTCAAGGTAATATTCCTGTTATTTCAAATCATCATCTTAGTCATCATCATCAACATAAATATAATGGTAAGAGCCTTGTTTAATAAACAAAACAAATGCCTTTTTTTTATGATATGATTTTTTGATGATATAATGATGATTGATGACCTTTGATTTCTTCCATTTTGTCTTGTTTTAATGAATGTAATGAATAATCTATAGTTTAGTATAATGTATACTTTTTTTCCTTTCTTTAAAGTATGTTTTATGTAACACAGTCTTGATAGATCTTAATTAAATTGTAGAGTAATGGAGCGAGGGTGGGGTTGGATCTATGAAGAGTACTTACGGGATGACATATTAGACTAGGCTCTTCTTGTTTTTTTGATAGTTCTCGTAATGCTCTAGTTTATCCAAGTTGATTATTTTCTTGTTCATGAGTTATTATTTAATCATCTGAAGTGGACATTGATTTCCATTAATTTATACATCAAGACTACATTTATAATTATTTCACAAGTTTCATTTGTCTAATTGCATAATGAGAGTATCTGTAGATATATGTAACCCAAGTTAGAAGATCTCCATTGATTATAGATCTCTATGATATCATGTGGATACTTTTTTTACAAGGGAGTATACCACGGAGGATTCTCAATTTACAATAAATACATAATTATAATCATGGGTTTGTGGTTGTAAAGAAGTGGGGAAACATAAATGATATGGGTCTTTCCTTTTCCTTACAATCATATTATATACAGTTATTAAAAAAAAAAAAAATGATGAGGTTCAATTATTATTTTCTGACCCACGCTAATTCGTATGTTCATTAATGAAATCTTCTTTATACTGGTTGATAATTGATGGTTGTACTTTTTTTTTCTCTCTCTTTCTTTCTGATGTTATTTTTGTTCCCTTAATATTTTGCATCAACTTACATGACAGGTGATTTTATGTTTGGGAGCAGAGTTATTTCTTCTTTCCTTTTCTTTGAGGAGTAGTAATAATAACAATGATAATAATAATAGTTATTGACTTATCCACAACTTTAATACTCAATTGTGGTTAAGGGTGTGTCTTAGATTTAGATTTTTTTTTTTTTTTATAGTTTAACATCAACCATTTGTATTTCCTTTCTTGGACTGGGGATGCAAATAGAAGTGTAGGACAGAAAAGTTTAATGAAAGTATAATGGTTAAATAACTTTGTGAGTACTTCTAACGAAATGTGTTAAAAGGGGGCCAAGCAAGAAAACAAGCTAGTCAGTGCGTTATATTACGCTGAAATGTACGATTTTCATTCATACTTGATGACGTATTGAATATAACATTAAAGATAGATCTGTGTGACCTGTCAGCTGGTACGTATGATGAAAACCAACATCGGTTATTGTGAGTGCAAATAATAAAAATTTGCTCACCTGGATCGTGTTTGTGAAGTCGTTTAAATGCGTCACACATGATGACACACACTGACACACCCACCGAACGGTCTGCGACCAGCAGATGAAGATCATCACCATCTACACTTGATGATGGCATACAGACAGAGTATACAAGTGTTGTTTAAATATAAACCACTCTGTCACTCTCACTTTCACTCTCACTATTGTAATATTATACATTTCAAGATCTACAAACAAAATACAAGAAATTTCATTTAAAAGAAAAGAGAAAAACTAATTTGCATATATCAGCTGATATGACAGTATACATTATCAATGTCAATGTGGGAACTAAATAAGTGTATGTATTCTCTTGAATATCTGTTACAATATTACTACTTCAACATACCGAGGAATAAAAATATAAAATCAATCTAGATCTCCTTCTACTACCCACTCACTAGTGCTACCATGAATAGGTTGAGATATATAATAACAATCATATCTAAATGATAGAGAGAGATAGAGAGAGGGGTAATGGGAAGAATTAATAAATAATAAAAACTCAATGGAGAAATAATAGACTTAACCCAAGTGAATATTATCACATTAATTTACGTGGTAGTGCCATGTATTATACTTTTGATTTTTATTTTTCTATTTCATGTTCAAATAGGTTATGCATGAATGTCCCAATTAACAACCCTTTATTGAGCAAGAATAGTAGAAAAGATGAAAAGAAAGGAAAGAAAATACTGTCGTTCCCTTTCTTATTCGTATCATATTGTGCCTATTCTAAATATTATTATTAATTTGAATGAAAAGAAAAATGAAAAAAAAAAAAAGATCTGGCTATATCTACGTAAAGTACGTATGTATCTCTATGTGGTGTACCTTTGAACTATTTAGGCAACATGTCGATTTCAATGTCAATTTGAGAGCAATATGTTCTCATAAGATGATTAATAGATTGATAATAACAACAAGAACATAAAGTATGAATATAACTCACCCAACAAATAATACACATACATGATGTATCGTCTTGTAGAGTAACATCAACTTGAACTGTGCTTCTACACAAATAGGTGACATTGTTATTTGGAAATTTCAAGAATTATCAAACCAAGATGAAATTGTATATGCACTCATAGATTGTGATTTCTACAAAGAAATGGGAAATGGATGGTATTGTTTATTTGATTGTTTATTTTCTATATCCTGATAAGACAAACCTATGTCCCACCACCCCCTTGTCCTTCATCACCATCCACAGAACTGTAAATGTAACCTTATTATTTTGTTTTTGCATAACTTCACATCAAATATTTTTTGCCTTTTCTGTTGTTGTAGTTGAAGGGGGTTTTCAGAAGTTGGTTATAATTTTTTTTGGGTGGAGAAAATTCAGGGTTTTGTTTTAATTTAGGACTGAGTCGGTTTTGAGCATGTCGGTTTAGAGGGACGAGAGGGGGAGGGTAAATTTTTGCAATATAAACATATCAACATAATTGAGATGTTCCGATCGGGAGAATTATCCAATACCTAGACTTGTTCAAGGCGTGTCGAAATTTATATCCCAGAAGGTGTTTGTATTGATTAGAGAAACAAAATGCTTATCATTGTCACTTATTCAATACCCCGGGGCCACTAATTATGAAAATGTAACATATACCGTTTAGGTTTTGTATCTCTCTGGTAGAGAAGGGAGGGGAGGGTGAGGGATATGTTGCTTTTCATTAGACTTTTTATACTATTAGACTTTATTAGAACAAAAAGGGTATCAGAATGTTTTAATAATCAAGGGGTATTACAAAAATGAACAAGTTAGAGTTGGTGACGTAAACAAGAAAAGGAAGGAAACATTGCTGGAACTTTCCTTTTATTGCCGATTTTTGTTTTCGCTTTTAGGTTTATTAAACATTCTACTATCTTTGGAGTTATTCAAATGATGGAAGGAAGGAAAATTATAAAGGGTGGCATTATACATCCACTTTATTAATCATCTAGTTGAATAATAATAAAAAGAATATATTCATTTACGTGGCCATATTTCCATCCTATCTGAATTATTATTATTGTTACTACTGTTTTGGTCTAGTTCTATTTATGGAGTTCGTATTTGATGAAGAAAAAATTTCAAAGTAGTATAGATGTATATCTATAATGATGCATTTACTGGGATTACCACAAACACTATTGATTACGAGAATCTCATCTGAATGCAACTTGATCATTTTTACGTAAAAATTGGATATAATTTTGTAGTTGTATTTTCATTAAGGTGACTAAGTGTATGGATTAATTGGGTTTTACTTTTACTTTTATTTCTACAAAATGCAACTCTTATTTAACGTAGATATATAATACTTGTACGTTTAAATAAATAAGTAAAATCTCTTGATAATATTACCCAAAAACCTTAAAGATATAATATTAAGATTTTATACTACAACTTCATCCACTGGAAATACTTTCTTTTGTTTTTACCAAAAAAGAAGGGAATACTAAAAATATTATTACATAGAGAATGAAGGAAGAAAGTATAATAATTACAATGATATTAACAGTAACAATAACAATAATAATAATAATAATAATAATAATAACAATCAACAACAAATTTAGCAGATCTACGTATGAAACTTTAAAATAAGATCTCTCTCCATCTAGCACTTAATCTCTATCTATCTATCTGTCCGTCTGTCTTATTTCCGTTAGGTGAAGCCCATTCCTTTATTCTTATTCCCTCACATGGTTAAATTCTTTTTTTAAAAAAATACATCTTTGAACCTTGCTCATGTGATAAACTTGTACAGGTAATTGTTATTCCTGTTTTTTTTTTGTTGTTATCAACCATAAGCTTAAAATTCTAATAGGGAAAACAAAAAATGAATACAGAAATAACAGGACTGTTGTGGTTTTATGTTATATATAACACGACGCATATACCACACCATGTACATCATCATGTATCTTGTGCTTGATGAAATTTCATATTTTTTCTTTTTGTAAAAGTTTTAGATTTTCATGTAGAGGGTTATATATTTATACATCATAGATATCAGTGTATGGCTAATATTGAAATTCATGGAAATATGCAAAAATAAACTGAAATGCATTCTTTATCCTTCTATCCCTTACAAGCCATTTTGTTTTTATTTTGATTTATATAACCGAAAGCCGGGTTCAAATTTTGGTGGTGATAACTTTATTGTTCGCGCCGAGGGTGTGTTTCTTTCGTGCCGTGTTCCAATTCCAAAGTATATATATAAAAAAAAAAACCATGGGACCAACCTCCCACCATAAAGCACAACAATACACGCCTCAGTGGAACCTAATAGCAAAAGAGAAGATCGAGGAGAACATGTTGTTTCAAGATATATATTCATACAACAAGGGGTGGGTTCCATTGGGATAAGTGCTTATCCGTGAGCCTCTATTGTTTATCAAAAATAGATGTAGCATTCAAGGTCGGATATGAGCAATATCGTTTGGCGAGAGTCTAGAAATTTAAAGGGTGCTCTGCTCTTGTTTTAGCACCCAGCCGACTTTACCATCTGAGGAAACATAACATACGTAAAGGCATGAATTAAAATGTTATTTACAAGTAAAAATGAATCTACCTACATAAGGACAACAACAACAATACTTATTACATAATTCTATTCAAGTAGTATTTAATGTATGGACTAAAACAAAATCCAAGTATTAAAATTG